ATTGTCTGTCTTTTAGTAAATGTTTCATACTTCTGTGAAACAAAATTGAAATCAGCCCAGTGGAAAAGTGAACGGGGAATAAGGTCAGCCTGGAATAGAGGGTGATAAATAAAATGATTGACTTTTCAGGCCCAGTGATTGTGTTGGTCCAGAGAGAGGATGCTGTTCTCTGAGGCTTCTGTAATGCTGAAAGAGGCTGGTGCTGTGATGTGCACATATCTTTCAGGAGAAAGAACAAGAAGAAGAACGTGGGAGATTTATTAATCACCCATCACTACCACAAATACTCTAATCCACACATATGAGCATATGCAGTTATTTTATTGCACCTTTTTTACAGTCAAAGTAGTAAAAATGGTAATAATAATAAAAATATGAAAATCAGTAGCAATAACTTGCAGTATCTAAGTGGGGCAGTCTTTCCTGCTTTATTAATGACTGAAGGGCATTTTCTATTTTTCACAATCACTTTCCTCCAGTAGTTGAAAAATATGATTCAACAAGCCATTTCTAGTTAATTAAGTATATACCACTGAATTGCCAACAAAACTTTACGCCCACACTTCTTCGTAAAAATCATGCATTTTTGTAAGCTCTTATAGAAAATGTGTTTCTGAGAAGTGAAAATAAACAAGTAAGCCTTATGATTTCTGTCATCTAAAAGCAGAGGAAGCCTGGGGTAAAATAAAAAAAAAAAACCATGGATTTGCACGCCTAGGAGGGACTTCAAGCAAAGAAAGCTGTAGTGTAAATTCTTCCTACCTACCTTAGAAAATGCATCTCCACGTTTCTAACTCTATTTTCAAAGATACTTTTAAATTAACTGTATTAACACTAATGTTAAGGAGAGTGAGTCTTGCCAATAAGAAGATTCTGGAATAGGACATCATGAACTAGTGAATCTGGGAGACTGGGCAGCTGAGGGCCTGGGAGGCAGAAGAGAACCCAGATTAGAGTTGGTGACCCAGCAGAAGTGACTAGGAAAGACAGAGACATGAGCAACTGACATTCATAAGCTGTGCACTGTTCCCCTTGAAATATTCAGTACATTCTACAAGACAATAAGTTTGGTATGGGTGAATTATTTAAGGAAACTCAAAGAAATATTTCTATGTCAGAAGCACATAAGACAGAAACAGACTATATGTAGGAACAGTCAGGCATAAATATAATACAATTGAAAACAACAGTCTATGGATGAGAGACTATCAGCCACCAAGTTAGACACGTGTGCACTAGACAGAGAGGAAAAGAAAGGGTAGTACAGGTGATTTGTAACTTCCTTCGATAAATTAGCGTGTATCTTGTAGTAAACGGGAGAGGAGAAAAAAAGGTATACTCTGTCTTAGCTCGTCTCTGCTGCCACAAATCTCACCAGGCCAGTGCTGATTCTAGTGTGACAAGACGTGTATTTAAGACCAAAAGAAAGAAACAGAAAAAGAAAAAAAAAATTCTAAAGCAAGGTGGCTGACTACTTCATCGAACAGAATAACAGGTTTATCTGCATACTGGAAGAAATACTGACTGTATCGGCCTTACTAAGAAATAGTACGTGGACTTTCAACAAGACAATTTTCCACATTTATATGAGTAATTTGGACCATGTAAGATTTTTGGCTAAGAATTTATTGACTACAAGGTGCAATTCCAATATGTATTTTCCTCTGTACTGGCAAGGCTCATTAAACCTCCATAACCACCTGTAGTGATTCCAGCCTATGTGAGTCTCTGGCAGAACGTAAAAAGGTCAGGGAGCATAGGAAGTGGAGGGGAAATTATGGCGGTCCCCACCATGAACACCCAGGGAATTCTTTTGGAGTTAAGGAATGGGATGGAGAAAACGTTCTGCTTAATGCCTAAAGGGAAAGGTAAAAAGGTATTTCAACACATTCAGCATTTAAAAGCAAGAATTGTATCTCTCCCTACGTCTTCAAGAATGTTTCTTTAGGTAGGAAAGAAGTTACACTGGTTCAAACCGGAATATGAGAACAGTTACAGGCACTCTCCCATTTTAGGAGGAGAAAAATTAGATTTATTTCCAAGCTAGGTTCTCACCCCAGCTTCTGTTTCTAAATTCAGATTGACTGTCACAAAGCTGAGGCTAGTGGCTGCTGACTCAGCAAGTGGAGGGACAGACACCTGAGTCCCAGTCTCTAAGAGGTGCTCTGTTACCACGGAAATGTGTTGGTAACATGCGGTCACCTGCCTCAGTGTGCACACCACTCCCTACATAGCCAGTGACAGGGGAGTTAAGTACGCCCTCAGCCCCCCGAGCGGATAATGCACTGGAGGATTCATTGAACAGCACCAGCAAGCAACCAAACAAACTCATCACAGGTGCCGACACATCATTGTTACATGGTTGTTGACAAACTATTTAAAGCATTTTATTAAGAAGGGTCACCACCTATTAGTCCTTTCTGAGGTTCCCAAAGATCCTAACTCTCCCTCTTTCCTCTCTCATCTGGTCCCAGTGCACCCTCGAATTCCCTAGTAGTGTGGAAGGAGAAACAAAACAAAACAAACAAACAAACAAAAAAAAAAAAACACAGCAAAGGCATAGTTATTAGGATAATTCAAACAAAGCCTCTGTGTGGTCCATTTCTTCACAAGTTCAAAGAGATGGTAGCATCATCATTAACGTCTCCCCAGCTGTGAAGCTAGGATGATATGGTGGGAGGTGGGGGGCTGGAGAGCAGAGGACTAGAGAAGATGATCTTAATATACCTGAAGTGGCACATACATTTTTTGTACCTGGACATTGCTGCACTTATTTTTAACTGAAGTCTCTAATAGCTCTGTATAACTGAACTATCGTGTCTGTTAACAAGGGTTACGCATTCTTTACCCACGGAAGTCATAAAGTCCCTATGCAATTTTAAACTTTAATAACTAATGAAAGATTCAAGCTATACGAGGTATATTAAAGCGCTACTTAAAACATTTTTTGCACAGTAGAGTTCAAATAACTTCTAGGTTTCCATATAACCACTATCTTTTGGGAAGCAATGTTCAATTTAACTTTTCATATGTATTGAAAACTGTTCCAGTTGCTGTTGAGTGATTTGTAGATTGCATTCATGTTCATAGTTCTTTACCTTCAAAGGGTTTAGATTTGATATAAAGACATCAGTTTCTGCATAACCTCACTGGTAGGAACAAGGACACTAAAGGGATATCCTGAAACTTTGTAAAATATTGAGAATATATTTAAAACATATATTCTCAATATAAAATATTTATGTATTTATATATTCTAAATACAAGGAAATATGTTCCTACTATAAGTGACTTGCTGTTCTACTTTTCTGTATCTTATACATTTTAATGATAATTTTTGTTGTTGTTAGTTGTCCGGGATCCTCTAATGCATTTCAAATGTATTTTCATAAGGTTTTCTTGGCTGTGATCTTAACAGAGCACATTGCCAGGCCTTTTCTTCTGAGTTAGCCCTAGGTGGCTTCTAAATGACAATAGGTCAGCAATCAAGCGCAACCAATCCACTCCCTCAAAATATTTCACTATGTTTGTAAATATATTATCATTATTACTATTTGGTAATAATTGCTTTAATATATTTAAAGTAATAGATTATCATTATTGTTACTTAATGATAATCTATTACTTTAAATACATTAACATGATTTCTAAAAGTATGCTTTCTGAGGAAAACATTTGAAGACAGGTTAGACAGTAGTTATCTGACAGATTCTCTAATCTCTACCAAAAATCAAAGGAAGTACTTTATGAAAGCAGACGTGCTAATAACTTGTATTTTTCCAGGACTAAAAATTTCACAAAAAATTACTTTGGTTTGTATATTTGCTCTTTGCAAAGTAATGTAGAAATTTATTTTAAGAAAATTGAAAGTGTTAAGAGGTATGTTGCTTAAATTGTTCACTCTCCAGAGAAAGTCTTTTAACAGTGGTGTAATTATTTACATTTTAATAAAAGGCAGAGTTTAGAACACTGTAACTAATTTTAATTCAATAGCATCATCATTCAAGCAATTGCTACTTTAATGGGATTAAAGATATCTTTGCATCCTATGCACCTGTTAAACATCATTCTCTCTCTTCATTACTCGAAAAATCATCTCATTGCTGAACACTGAAGAGGTTTATAGTGAAATATTTTCAGGGCACAGATTTTGCTGTGTGCAATGACTCGAAATGATTTATAAATGAAATGGCAAATTGTTATTCTCCTTCATTTGTTAAAAAAAACATAATGCTTTAAAGAATGTTTTCTGGAGAAGTCATTAGTAAAGAAAAACTATGTATGGCTAGGAAACAATTTGCTATTCTCTCTAGCCTCAGAGAAATAGAGACTTAGAAAAACGAACTTCTGCTTCTTATTTTTGAATACATGATTTACCTCTGAATAGGATAATCTCTTTCAAATCTCTGCTCTATGCTTCTGAAAGTGTATAGCTTATGTTCATATTTGTGCAAAATAAAAGCAAAACATAAATAGTGAAAATGCCCTCGCTTTCCAGAAACTGATCTTTCAGCAGTCTCAAACATTTTTAATATGCTCTAAATTTAGAAATATGCATAAAGGTTTATAAATGCCAAAGTTTAATAATATATAAACAAAGTAAAATAGGTATTTAGTGATCTTTTGTTTTCACTAAATTATCTTGATGATGTCTGTAAATCATGTTTACAATTAGATGTGAAATTCTATAATGCACTTTTACATGTATTTTCATTAAAATGGTTACTAATATCTAAAACAATCTCTAAATTCTATTACAAAATAGCTCATTTAATTAGATAAAATATTATAGTATATTTGAAAACACTTTGTAAAATGTGAAGTGCTACTCAAAGGTAATTTGCTCAATATTATTTTCCTTATAATACCAGGTGAATGAGATGTTACTGTGTCTTCACATTAGAGGTATCAGATTTAAGTGCCAGAAGAAGTATTTTAATGTTTCATTAAGGTAATGTTTATTATAAATATACGAATACCATAAATCCTTTAAATATCACAAAAATACAACCCAGATACTTTTAGTACTTTTTTCTGAATATAGTCGTATGTGCATTATTACAAGAAGACCCCCATAAAATCCCAAACAATATTTACCTTGGTAAACGAAATGGAACCCCCTGGCAGATGCACCACTTTTTGCGCTGAATCGGAGTAGAATTTGATTTGACGTAGCCAAAGGCAGGGTTTCCCCTATATGTAAAAATGAGATAATACATGGAATCCAGAAAATGCATAGCACTCTGGCAGACAGTATTTTGGAAATAATCATTAATTTGCAATTGCACATTTACTATTTCTACTTATATGTATATAATAGGCAAATACACAGAGATACAAGTTTGTGAGTGGTTACCAGGGGCTGATGGGTGCTCTATTTCCATTTGGGGTGATAAAAAAGGTTTGGAAATAAATAATGGCAATGGTTGCAAAACATTGTGAAGGTAACTAATATCACTGAATTGATCACTTAAAAATAATTAAAATGGCAATTTTTATGTTATACATACTTTACCACCATAAAACAAAAAAAATAAAAAATTGAACTAAAAAACAAACAGACAAAAAAAACTTTCACTTTGGTATTTGGGACCCAAACAAACTGTTTCTATAAAGATCTTAAAACTCTGTACTTGCCTACCCTTTCTATTAATATATGATTTTAATCATTATCTCATTTATACTCTCTTTTGAAGAAAGCACTGATAATAGCCCTATTAGCTGATAATATAGGAAATGCAAGAATTGGATGAATCATTTACTCAGGATTACTTTAATTGGATAATTACTTGATAGAATTTTACTTAAAATAGATAATGTTTCTGAATCCAAAACTGATTAAAAGATTAGGAAAAAGCCTCTGAAATGTTGTTTTTCTCATTTTAAAGTACACACACAACATGGGCAGCGGTCTCTTCCAAGTACAGCTGCAAAGAGCACAGCTGAAAAATTGGCATCAGATTTTCTGATGTGAATTTGTTCGTATGTACCAGCATTTTAAGTGTTCATGTTCTCACACATTTCTAGGAATGTATCTGAACATTGATAGGAAAGAATAAGACAAAGATCTAAAATCTTTGGTTTATAACAGTGAGAACGGGAAATAACTGAATCTTAACCTCTTTGACTAGAGCCTATGAGGAACACAGACAACTGCACTGTTTTGGGAAAATGATAAAAGTGTAACAAGAGTATAAATAAAGGACTTGGTGAACAGCGAGCGGCTGTTTAAAATAAATTGTATCTCATTAATATAGCAGAATACTCTTCAGCACTGAAAGTAACAGTGTTTGTCCTATATCCATATTTTTCTTGTCATTAGGGAAAGACCTCTAAATAAAATTTTAAATGAAAGCACAGGATGAAAAATAAGTTGTGTAGTAATACCCCATATTTTATAAAGTCTTACATATATTTATATGCATATATATATACACGCCAGAAACATAGTGTAATGAATCTCTATGTGTATGTATTTAAAGTTTGGAATAATTTGCAACAAAATGTTAATAGCTCTTATAGCTAGAAGGAAGACTAAGAATAGAAAATAAAGACGTAAGATACTTTATTATCCTTTTTTCTTTTTCTGACATTGGCCTTTTTTATTGTGATGAAAATTATATTTTCCAGAATCTTAGTAAGTAAAATGATAAAAGCGGGGGATTTTGTATGTAGGTCAAAACTACTTTTGAAATCTTACTTCTAAAACAAGATTTTACTAAACGAATTCAAAGATGATTATATTTCTCATTTATATTAAAAAAAAAAAGGTTAAAATTAATCACCCAACCTATTTAAATTGTATTAAAGACAAAATTCTTTGAAAGTTTACCTGAATGAGACCCAGAGAGTGAGCTGAGAAGTCTGGCCTGTGGATGTGTTCCATCGAATAACTCTGCCAAATCATTCAGAGCCGTCTGAAAATAGACAAACTGTCCAAACACCACTGTAAAATAAAGGGAGTGCATTGGGACCATATGCTTTCTTTAAAAGTGAAATGGAAATTTTAGTCTTACTGCATATTTATCGATTCCTAAAGGATCATTATCCTAGGATTCCTGTAAGAAAAATAACTTATTTTCTCTGTTTTCTCAAAGATTTAAATAAAGCAAATGATTTTATTCTGCTTCTTTATCCTCTGACACTTAAGAAAACGAGTTCAATTACTGCCCTCTATATAGTTTGAACATTACGACAAATGAGTATTATAGTTTCTTTGAATAAATATTCCATCAGGATAGTGGAAGGATAAAGGCACCCCATTTATTTGAGAGTAATTAATGACATTGTATTCAATGAACAACAAGCATAGGGATCAAGCCTTCTGTTCACCTTTAAAGCATGGTAATTTGGTGAGGATTTCAAATTCCTTTCAAACAGTTCTTATAATGCTGAGTTTATATTAACTCATTACAATGTATACACATGATTCGGCATCATGTTATAGGAATTGGTTATTGTTATCCCACTGTGCAATTACAGAACGTACCTCCTCCTAGTAAAACATAACTATTTTACTACTTTGAATTTAATCAATGCTGTGTTTTCAAATTGGGCCTTTACAATATTTAGAAAAATCTTTAATCTAGTATCTATTTACAAGCAATGAACAACTAACGCTTTCCTTACTTACCTGTAAGATTTAAACTAAAATCATTCTAAATCATTCTGAACCAGAAATTGAAATATGTGCATCAATTTTACATGTCAGAATTCTAATATAAAGAATTAATCTAAGTGGATGTAAACAGACGCGAGGCAACTCTCACTATAGCGACGCACACACACATATGCATATAAAACAGAATACGTATGTACACGTATATCTTGCATTCTAAGATTTCATAATTTCTTAGAAATAAAGCAATTAAAAATGTATGTCAGCAAGGTGGATTTCCCCGATAGACAAAGCGGTCTAAAAACCTGATGGTATCAGGGATTAGAGATAGAGAGGACCTTCGGATGTCTGTAATACTCTTGTTCATACAATCATTCCTTCACTACCAACTTGAAAATTCATAAAATCATTAGCACGTTGGAGCCAGAATGCTTGGGATATTTCATTAAAACAAAGCTGAATCATACATAATTCCTACTTTTATTCAAAAAACATTTTAACGAGCATCAACTTTATGCTAGAAGCTAAGAATAGATGAGTGAATAATACGTAAACTTTGTCCCAAAACTATCACTATAATTTATGCAGGAGTTTCCACAATAATACAGATTTAGGGTGTGCATTATCAGTTTAAAAAGGGACACCTAACTCATTCTGCAGATGGCCACACAAACGTTCCTCTAAAGATGGTACTTGAGTTGAGATCTAACTGATGACTCTTACTCAACTCAAACGAGCGAACACCTCCTAGAAGAGCTAAGTTATACAATGATGACTATGCTGCAGACGAAAGTGATGAAGATGTGACAACGTACAAATAAAGGACTCCCGGGATTTTAGCAGAGGGAAAGCTTTTTTCTAGCTGTGGCAAAAGTGGATGCTTTACAGGAAGACAGCAATAAAACTGGTCCTTAACTGATAAGAATTGAAACTTTTTTTCCCAGTTAAGAATGGAACAAAAAAATTATTTCACTAAAACAGGCCTACATAAATGGAAAAACATTCTATGTCCATGGATAGGAAGCCTTAACATTGTGAAAATGTCAGTTCTACCCAAAGC